TTAAGGGTCTTTGAACCTGGAATTTAGGGAGTATATCCCATTTGAGTAGGGAGACGTTGACGTCAGGACTACTTAGACTTCGTACTACTCAGAGGGCTTGGAATCCCTTTAGGGGGTGTGCACACTTAAGGTAGAAGTCTAGATTCTAATAGAGGAGATGAGGTACCGAGAGGAGATCGGAGTGACCGTACAAAACAACGGTTCACTGGGCTTAGGAATCGAGGTAACGCTTGAGCACCGCCCGTCTAAATGACTAGGAAGATTTGCTATAAAGCTCTTTTGAGGAAAACAAATAAATTTTGTATTTGGAGAATTATTCTTTGAAATACTTACAAGAATCATTGAAGGAACTTTTTACCACTCTTTTTTTTTTGAACAAAATTATTGGAAACTCGTTTTTGTATATATTATATACAAATGCTTATTTTTCAACAAAACTATTATTTTACGGGGTTGGGTGGGATTTACTTAGCGAAAGCTAATTTTTGTGTTATTTGTTTCTTTTATTTCCTTATGTTACAGATGGTGTGATATCCGAAGATTGATGCCTTGAGAGCGCTCCTAGAAGACTTTTAGAGTAGCCTCGTTTAGAATAAACTCTGTTAGATTTCATTATCTCGACTGTTGAATTTAAAGGATTATTTTAGATACATTTATGGCGGTTAGCCTTAGCATCCAGTCAGTTTAAGGCTGGGTGTGGCGGTAACACGCCCCTTTTCCATGTTATGGTTTATTTCCGCTGCAAGAATTTGGAAGTTTCAAATAAGTAATAAAAGTTCGCTATTCAGTTAAGTATTATTTTGGGAGGGAAATTTGGGGGTGTTACAAGTTGGTATCAGAGCCCTTGGTTTTCCGAAGGGATGAGAACACAAGGTAATAGGTCGTAGGGAGCAATTCTGTCACAAAGACGATAACAGTCTAAGCTGGTTGGTGCATAATTGAGCCTTTGCGCTCGTCCAACTAACTGGGAATTTCTCCTTGTGCTGAAACTTTGTTGTTCGAAATCCTGGAAGAAAACTTTGGAAATCGTACCTTCAAAAATATATATATATATATATATATATATAGGAAATTAAGCTAGGAAATAATCTCCTAGGAACGTGGTGAGGATTTTGTGAGTATTATTTTCTTTGCATGAATATGATGATAATTGTGATGATTGTGGGCCCATATGGGGACCCCAAATGTTGAAGGGAATGCCTAACAAGGCAAAATTTTAAAGTGACCAAGGTATGTACGAACACTATGTGCAAAAACATGTTCCTATGCCAACTGTGAATCATATGTGTGATTGCATGTAAGATACAATTTATTATTGTGATAATTATGGCCTATGGAACCCTTGATTCTAGGATCCCTAGGGAAAGTAGGAAAAATCTCTCACTAACACTAAGTTTGTATTATTTTATGGAGACACCATGCCACCAAGAAGGGACCCGAATGCTGTGCCCACCAACGCGGAATTGGCTCAGACCGTGCACCTACTGAGTCAACTCACTCATACTATTGCAACTACGGTACTCCAAAACAACCAGCCGCGTAACAACGGCAATGACATGGAAACCCGGGTAGCGGCGCGAAATCCACCGAGTTTCCTAGGGCAAGAAGATCCAACCATTCTCGAGAATTGGATACGCACCTTCGACAAGCTATTTGATACAATCAATTGCCCAGAAGAGCAACGAATTGGCATCGCTGTTTATTATCTGCACGAAGAGGCAGATAGATGGTGGGTTAATGTGGGACCAGGATTGCGTGCCCAACCAGATTTCACCTGGGAACGGTTTAAGCGTACACTGCGGAAAAGATTTTACCCGCCACACGTGCAGGCGGAAAATTACGACAAATTCCTGCATCTGAAGCAAGGGGAGATGACGGTGCAAGACTATCACTCTCAATTCGTCTCGCTAGCAGAGTTTGCGTCATCACTAGTGCCCGATGAGGAAAGCAAGGTTGAGAAGTTCATCCGGGGACTCAATTATGACACTCAGAAGGCTTTGAGTGTGCAAGAATGCCAAACCCTGGATGATACCTATTATAGGGCTGCCAAACACTATCGGGTGATTCAACTTCAAAGAGAAACCCACAAGAAAATTCGGAGGAACGAAGAGGAGGAGAGACAAAGGGAAAAGCGGGTCAAGGTTCATCACTATGAGCCGACACACAATCGCCCAAGGGATGAGAGGAAATTCCAGGGGCATGATCAGAGGCGTGACCGTCGAAGTGGAGCAGAGGGGAGGCGTTTCAACTGTACAAAATGCAATAGAGACCACCCAGGGGTGGATTGTGCCGGCAACCGGGTCAAATGCTACACATGTGGCAAAATGGGCCACCGTGCATTCGAATGCTGGGATAACGTAGGGAGAGGACCACAGAACCAGGGCCCTAATCACAGAGGCGGCAATCGAGGCGGAACTCAAGGTGAAAATAGGCCAAGAGCTGAGAACCGGGGTAACCACAACCCGGGAAATCGTGCTGGAGACGGTGATCGGGGCCAAAATCGGAATCAGGGAGGAGGCAACAACAAAAATGCTCCCAATCAGGGTCGGATTTATGTAATGAATCAGGCCCAGGCCCGCGCACACGATGTGGTGGCAGGTATCATTCATGTTAATACCACTCCTGCTTATGTCCTATTTGATTCTGGTGCTTCTCACAGTTTTATCTCTTCTAAATTTGTTGAGAAGTTAAAGATAGAACCTGCAACTAGCATAGAATTGAATGTAAAAACAGCAAATAATAGTGTGGTAGCTTGTAGAAATGTATACATGAATGTACCCATAGTTATAGCCGACGTCAGTCTACCGGGGGACTTGGTGCAGTTTGACCTCGAAGACCTTGACGTAGTGTTGGGCATGGATTGGCTCGGGAACTACAAGGCAAAGATCTTATGCAACGAGCAGAAAGTGATCATGAAGAGCCAGAGCGGGAAGCGAGTATCATTCAAGGCAGTTGTGAACAAACCAGGTGCCAAGTTGATGACGATGCGACAAATGAGGAGGTACATCCGGAAGGGATGCGAAGCATACCTATGCATGCTGAAGGAGACCCACAATGAGGAGCAGACGACTGATCAGATTCATGTGGTCAGTGAATTTCCCGACGTATTTCCAGAAGACATTCCGGGGATGCCTCCGGAACGGGAGGTTGAGTTCTCCATCGACTTAATGCCGGGGACTACACCGATTTCCAAGGCACCGTACAGGATGGCTCCGAAGGAAATAAAAGAACTGAAGGAACAACTAGAGGAATTGCTTGAGAAGGGCTATATCAAGCCGAGCGTTTCACCTTGGGGCGCTCCGGTCTTGTTTGTGAAGAAGAAGGACGGTAGCTTGAGGTTGTGCATTGACTACCGAGAGCTAAACCGTGTTACCATCAAGAACCGATACCCTCTACCCCGCATCGATGACCTGTTCGATCAATTGAAGGGGGCGGGTATATTTTCCAAGATTGACCTTCGATCCGGCTACCATCAAGTGAGGATAGCGGATAGGGATATACCGAAGACTGCATTTCGTACGAGATATGGGCACTATGAGTTCACTGTAATGCCGTTCGGTTTAACCAACGCACCAGCGGTGTTCATGGACCTAATGAACCATGTATTTCGCCCCTATCTTGATACATTTGTGGTGGTATTCATTGATGATATCTTGGTATACTCAAAGAACGAGAAGGATCATGAAGAACATCTAAGGCTCGTCCTGCAGACTTTGAGAGAACATCAGCTTTACGCCAAACTTTCCAAGTGTGACTTTTGGAAAGACCGAGTAGCATTTCTGGGTCACATCATCACTCGAGACGGAGTATCTGTGGACCCGTCGAAGATCGAAGCAGTAACCGAGTGGCGAGCACCTACTACTGTTACGGAAGTGCGGAGTTTCCTTGGGTTAGCGGGCTACTATCGGAGATTTGTAAAAGATTTCTCCAAGATAGCTAGACCATTAACCAATTTGATGAAGAAGACCACAAAGTTCCAGTGGACAGATGATTGTGAGAAAGCCTTCCAAGAGCTGAAGAAAAGACTAACGACTGCACCGGTACTGACACTTCCATCGGGAACTGATGGATTTGAAATCTATTGCGATGCATCCAAGAATGGGCTGGGCTGCGTACTAATGCAGAACGGGAAGGTAGTAGCTTATGCATCCCGACAACTAAGGGTGCACGAAGTCAACTATCCAACCCATGACCTGGAGTTAGCTGCGGTGGTGTTTGCCTTGAAGATTTGGAGGCACTACTTGTATGGACCGCCATGCAAGATATTCACGGACCACAAGAGCTTAAAATACATATTTACGCAGAAAGAACTCAACATGAGGCAGAGGAGGTGGCTAGAACTTGTTAAAGACTACGACTTGGTGATCTTATATCACGAGGGAAAAGCCAATGTTGTAGCTGATGCCTTGAGTCGAAAAACGGAACACACGAGCCGGGCTGCGTGGATACTATCAGAAGAGTTGTACCGGGAATTTCAGAGGCTGAACTTAGAAGTCAAGGAGCATGGTGAAGTAGAGGGTGAGATCCAGTTATACACTATGACCATTTTACCCTCTATCTTTGATGAAATAAAGACTGGTCAACCAGGAGACGTGAAGCTTGAACGAGTCAAGGCTGGGATGAAGAACGGGGTAAACGGACCGTTTCAGTTGCATGAAGACGGGAGTATCCGCTATAAGGGTAGGTGGTGTGTCCCGATGAAGTGTGAGCACATTAAAAAGCAAATCATGGAGGAAGGACACAACACGCCCTATTCGGTACACCCGGGAGGAGACAAATTGTATAAAGATTTGAAGCAAAACTTGTGGTGGCCGAGAATGAAAATCGAGGTGGCGGAGTTCGTGGCACGATGCTTAAACTGTCAAAAAGTGAAAGCCGAGAGGTGCAAGTCCAAGGGACTCGTGCAACCCTTGGAGGTGCCAACGTGGAAGTGGGACTCTATCTCGATGGACTTTGTCGGGGGTTTACCCTTAACAACGTCCGGGAAAGATAAGATTTGGGTGATTGTTGATAGATTGACCAAGACCGCCAGGTTCATTCCCATGAATGAAACTTGGAGCATGGATAAGCTAGCGAAAGCCTACATCAAGCATGTGGTGAAGTATCATGGTGTACCCCGAGATATTGTATCTGACAGAGACTCCAGATTCCTATCTCAATTCTGGAGGGAACTTCAAGCTGCTATGGGGACCACTTTGAAACTGAGCACAGCATTCCATCCTACTACGGACGGTCAGACCGAGAGGACTATTCAGACACTTGAGGATATGCTGAGAGCCTGTGTGCTGGACTTGCAAGGATCATGGGACGAACACTTAGACCTAATAGAGTTCTCGTACAATAACAGTTACCACGCGAGCATTAAGATGGCTCCGTACGAGGCTCTATACGGTCAAAAGTGTCGAAGTCCATTGTGTTGGGGCGATATGGTAGACCAGGTTGTCTTAGGGCCGCAATACTTGCAAGACACGATGGAGAAGATCAAACTCATTCAGGCAAGGATGAAGGCAGCGCAAGATAGACAAAAATCATATGCGGACCTAGGAAGAAAACCAGCTGAATTTGAGGTGGGAGAGAAAGTACTTCTCAAGGTCTCTCCTACTAAAGGCGTTATGAGATTCGGGAAGAAGGGCAAGCTGAGTCCTCGATTCATCGGACCTTACGAAATTCTAGAGAAGGTGGGAAGAGTGGCTTACAGATTGGCTCTACCCACAGAATTGAGTAAGGTAAGGATTAAATATGTTCTTTCTAAACGTATTCCAAAGTTTGGAAACCAAGCTGAAACATTTTAACGTGTGCAAGGTACACGACGTATTCCATATATCCCAACTGAAGAAGTATGTCCGTGATGAGGCGCATATCCTAAACCCAGAGGTAAGGACCTCACTTTTAGATAGCTAGGATGCGGTTAGTAGACATTGAAATAACCCTTTATGTAATTAGGTGATCGAGTTGGATGAAACCTTGACGTATGAAGAGAGACCTGTGAAAATCTTAGACACGAAGACACGTGAAACTCGGAGAAAGGCCATTCGAATGGTCAAAGTTTTGTGGTCAAATCACTTGGCTGAAAACGCCACATGGGAGACGGAGGATGACATGAGAAAACGTTATCCTGAGCTATTTAGTCAAGGTAATGTATTAGTTACGAGGACGTAACCTCTCTTTTAGGGGTGTAGAATGTAATACTTTAGAATTTCGTCAATTTACTTTAGTTTATGTTTCGGGACGAAATATCTTTTAAGGAGGGTAGATTATAACACTCCAAAAATTTAAATAAATAAATAAAAATAGATAATTGTGTTAACCAAATAAAATGTTCCAAGTGTCATTTTTTTTAAACAGATAAAATTTCGACAACAAAAATGATATTTTGGTACGATAAATTTTGATTTCGTGAAAGTGAGATTTTTTTTTAGTAGATAAAACTTGGAGTTAATAAGGTGACATTTTAGAAGTGCTGGTTAGTACGAATGTGCACAATTTACTCAAAAAGATAAAAGTTTACTTCTCAACTAAATTCATAACAATAATATGTACGAATAATTTATGGAATAACTTATGTAGGTATTATGCATATTAACATTCATATTAAAAGACATGCGTACAGTTATGAAATATTAAAGGATCAATATATTATACCTTACCTAAACGTATGGACAGTACTACTATTATAAACCTACGCATGGAGCATATCTTTAATTAAGGAAAGTTAGTAAATAAAAATCAATGCATAAGATCTTGTAACCTATATTCATATGAGAGCTGCGTATCACTTTCTAATAATAATATAGGCTAGAAGGAAACTGACGTTAATAATAATAATGCCCGGAGATTCTTAACGAACGGCTAGAGCCATCAACGAGCTATATAAATAGCAGACCTGCGTTTTTCCTCTCATTCACAAAGTAGCAGCGATAGATATATATATACACACATATACGTACGTCTATATATATACCAAAACTTGACCCTGCAATATACCCAAAAACTAAAGCTGAAAAACACTTCCAAACGCTGCCCTCCGTGAGACGAACCCAACGGTGAAAGAACCGTTGAAAACGAACGTCGGAGTAGGGAGAACAAGTTTGCCAGAGTTTCGCCGGGCTAACCTTCTCGACAAAAAACGGAGAAGACGAAGGACCTGCCGCCGCCGCCAGTCCATTTCTGACCTTCGCCGGAGTCCACTGCCGCCGCCGCTCCAACCGTTGGTCTTCGGAAAGGTAAGTCACGGCACCTGCATTTAATCTCGTTTCCGGCGTGTCATGCGAAGAAGATGACTCCATGTGTATTCAAAAATTACGGTGGACTATTTTAATTAGTGTTTGGGCTGAATTTTGGGCTTGTTTTAAATGATCAAGCCACAAACTTAAGTACCTGAGCCACTGGTTAATAATAATAATAATAATAATAATAATAATCATAATAATAATAATAATAATCTAAAAAAATTGATAAATTTGAGATGGGAAATATTAATGATGAAATTGGCTTGGTTGATTGTTAGTAATCACTTCGGTAAGTTTGTTAATTGTTATTTATCATAATTATGTAATGTTGAGTGATAAAATGAATTTATAGTGTAGTTAATAAAAAAATGAATAAACGGACATTATATAAAAATAATAATTAGTTAGTTTGAGTTAGTACCATAATTAGAATTGGATGGATATTATTTTCACTAATTATTGGATTAATTGAAGTAGATTAAAAAAAAACATAATTACGGGCTCGGAAAGTTTAAGTGTTGAGTAAATTAATAAAGTCATATTTAGTTAACGATGATAAGTTATACTTGGATTTACTAATTGAACTAATGTGGATTAGTATAAAGTGATTGATAAAAAAAAATGATCAGCGGATAAAATAAATTCGAATGATTAATTAATCTTGTTAGTAAAATTAGAATAATAAAATAAAAGGGAAGATTGGATAAGTTATAAAAAAATAAAAAATAAAAAATATAAAAATAGAATAAGTGACTAACTATACCATCTTAATTAAAAGGTGAATATTTAGAGGCCTGAATAGAAGAAGAGAGATAGGAGCATCGGATTAGAGGTAAGTCACATTGCAACCAAAACTTTATTTCTTTCCTCGTTAATAATTATTTGCTTGATATGTGATGATGGTATTAATATTTTGAATGATGAATTTGTGAACAAGTTGTATTGTTGTGATTTCGAGATATATTGGATTATACGTACATGAGATATTTTGGGAAGATATAAAGTTAAGAATTTAAGGATAATAATCCTTGTGAAATTCTGTCCAAGAGACATAAATATGAGATTTTTGGAAAGACAAGATAAAAGACTATTTTCATAATTGGGGGCACCGCGGGAGAAATCCGTAGGTGTCGGGCCACCTTCACGTCCGTTAATGGTGAGGGAGGGTTAGGACTACTACTACTTGATTCGAGAAGTTACAATAAATTAAATGAATTTTTGGAAGGTTCGGTAACCACCCCGAACAACTGGGCATTAGATCCCCTTTTTATTAGAGCAGTAGTAGTAGTACCTATTCTCTTAAGGGTCTTTGAACCTGGAATTTAGGGAGTATATCCCATTTGAGTAGGGAGACGTTGACGTCAGGACTACTTAGACTTCGTACTACTCAGAGGGCTTGGAATCCCTTTAGGGGGTGTGCACACTTAAGGTAGAAGTCTAGATTCTAATAGAGGAGATGAGGTACCGAGAGGAGATCGGAGTGACCGTACAAAACAACGGTTCACTGGGCTCAGGAATCGAGGTAACGCTTGAGCACCGCCCGTCTAAATGACTAGGAAGATTTGCTATAAAGCTCTTTTGAGGAAAACAAATAAATTTTGTATTTGGAGAATTATTCTTTGAAATACTTACAAGAATCATTGAAGGAACTTTTTACCACTCTTTTTTTTTTGAACAAAATTATTGGAAACTCGTTTTTGTATATATTATATACAAATGCTTATTTTTCAACAAAACTATTATTTTACGGGGTTGGGTGGGATTTACTTAGCGAAAGCTAATTTTTGTGTTATTTGTTTCTTTTATTTCCTTATGTTACAGATGGTGTGATATCCGAAGATTGATGCCTTGAGAGCGCTCCTAGAAGACTTTTAGAGTAGCCTCGTTTAGAATAAACTCTGTTAGATTTCATTATCTCGACTGTTGAATTTAAAGGATTATTTTAGATACATTTATGGCGGTTAGCCTTAGCATCCAGTCAGTTTAAGGCTGGGTGTGGCGGTAACACGCCCCTTTTCCATGTTATGGTTTATTTCCGCTGCAAGAATTTGGAAGTTTCAAATAAGTAATAAAAGTTCGCTATTCAGTTAAGTATTATTTTGGGAGGGAAATTTATGGGTGTTACACTTAGACATCCCACTCTTCATCCATTCATTGAAGGTAAAGTTGGAGGACTTCTTCTTAGAACTTCTGGGAGGTGGAGGAGGAGGTTTGGTGCCTGCATTAGCTTGCTTTTTTCTTTTTGGCAGCTTCGAAGTAAGGAGCATGATCAACAGATGATGGGGGTCCTCTGATAGATAAGGTTCTGGAGCTTGGACATTCTTCTTCTCTGGTGTCTTCCCCCTTTTTGGCATCAACAAGATCGCCAAGGAGGAGTTCAATCTTTCAGAACTTTGATGCTTGGGCATCTCTGATCTCATGTAGAGCTTCTGGCAGAGTCTGGGTAACAGAGGCCAGACCTTCAATCAGGTTCTGTTGTCTTTCCATGGTAGATTGGATACTCTGTGTACTGGCTTCAAGGAGTACTAACTTCTGGTAACGCTCCTTGTCCGTGTGAAGAAGATCTAAAGCTTGCGCTTTGTGTTGTGTACACATATTTCCTATCTCCATGAAGCGCTGTGAGGCTTGATCAGCCTTCTATTGTAGAATGTCAATGGCTTCAGTGATCTCCTTTAGTTTCTCATTCTGATTATCCATAGATTGGGAGTGAAAGTAGAGGACAGAGTTAATTCCATCTACTTCTCTGGAGATTGTATCAATCTTCTTGTTTGTGTGTGTCAGATGCTCATAATGTTTGTCATTGATAACGATGAGCTTGTTCATGTTGTCTAGCATCTGACCACCAAACTCTTCTGCAGACTGGACAAATTGGTTGAAGTCCATCTGAGGGGCTTCTGGAGCAAACCCAGGCATCTCCAACCCTCTTCCCTTGGGGAATGGAACAGTATTGCCAGTGGGTTCAGCAGATTGATCCCTGGGAGGTGTCTTCCTTCTCTTGGATGTGAAGTCTGCCACAAGAGAGGATGTGAGGAACCCATCATTGTCAGCATCTGAGGACAGAATGCGAATGGGAATCTCTCTCTTGGGTGTTGAGGCTACAGAGAGCTGAGGAGAGAGTGGAGGTGTAGCAGCTCTGGTGATTGACAGGGGTTGCTGCTGTGGAGGTGAACTCTGATGTAAGGGGGGTTTTTGATGGGGGGAGTTCTGATGGTGAGAGTTCTGAGGAGAGGAGTTCTTAGGAGTGATTGATTTCAGATGTTTGGGGGAGGGTGGTGGTGAGGGTGACCGGTTTCTAGGAGGTGAGGGGTGCTTGAAGGGTGATGGAGACTTTGATTTGGTCTCCTGAGGTGTTGGATTTCTGATGGGGGATGGTGGGGGAGAGGAGGTTTTCTGAGGTGATGGGGTTTTCTGATGGGGGGAGTTCTGATGGTGAGAGTTCTGAGGAGAGGAGTTCTTAGGAGTGATTGATTTCAGAGGTTTGGGGGAGGGTGGTGGTGAGGGTGACCGGAATCTAGGAGGTGAGGGGTGTTTGCAGGGTGATGGAGACTTTGATTTGGTCTCCTGAGGTGTTGGATTTCTGATGGGGGGTGGTGGGGGAGAGGAGGTTTTCTGAGGTGATGGGGTTTTCTGCTTGAGTGGGGTTGAAGGTTTTGAGGGTGATTTGGGAGGTGAGGAAGATGTAGGTGAGGGTACTTTAGGAGGGGGTGATTGAGTAAAAGGAGATTTGGGAGGGGAAGGAGGGGGTGATTGAGTAAAAGGAGATTTGGGAGGGGAAGGAGGGGGTGTAGGAATTACCTCAAGAACAGTTTCAGAGAACAAGGATTCTCTCCATTCCTTGACCAGCTTTTCCATTGTCAAAGGAACATCATTGGCTGTGGAGGGTTCCCCTTCTTCATGAGCACTG